GCCACAGCAATGGCCGGCGAGCTCGCGGCGGCCTCTAGCGGCAAGCTCGAGGCTCGGCCGATCCAAGCGAGCCCAAGCTTCGCCGAGGTCGGTGAGCTCACGGCTCGCCGAATCCAGGCGAGCCCAAGCTCCGCCGATCGAGTTCGGCCAAGGCTGGCGAGCTCGTGACATGCCAGATCCAGGCGAGCCTGGGCTTGGCCGAGGCCGGAGAGCTTGCGGCTCGCCAGATCCAGGCAAGGCCGGCAAGCTCAAGCTCGCCTGTGGCCATCGCTGGGCAAGCCTCGAGCTCGTCGGTGGCCATCGCCGGCCGGTCCTGGCAGAGGAAAAAGAAAAGGAAAGAAAAGAAAAAAGAAAATTTAAAAATAATAAAAAATTTCAATATTTTGAAAAAAGAAAAGAAAAAATAAAAATGAGAAATAAAAATAAAAATATCGATTTTTTTAAAAATAAAAGAAATATTAAAAAGTTCGATTTTTTTTTGCCTGAAATAAAGTCATGAGATTAAAATCATTTTCCAATGATATCCAAACATTAGAAAACGATTTCCATCTTGTATCACCAAACAAAGGAAAACGAAGCGTTTTCCTGGAAAATGATTTTTCGAAAAATATTTTCCTTTATCATTAAGTTTTCCGGGAAACAAACACACCCTAAGTTTCTATAATCCACCAAAAAGATTATGTACAACTTAGAACCCAGCACGCCCAGCAAATTATCAACAACCATTTCTACGACTCCCTTAAGCCATCCCGAAATCCAACTTCCAAAAGTCCTCGTGATAGTGCTGTTGTATTATCGGCTGCTAGCTAAGGAACCTGAAAAACATGAAAGATGAATGGAGCAACAACCACAGCTCAGCGAATAATACATTTATTATAAATAGATCGAGCAACCACTATACACATTTATAGGCCTAATTCCCTAAAAAACTCTAAACTTTATATTTAGTCCCAATTTTAACCTGAACTTTTTTTATCTAAAAAAAGACGCCAAACTTTCACTTTAGTCCCAAATCTACCCCCTTAATTTTCCGTCCAAGATCTCCGTTACTCATCCAATGTGGTATTTCCACGTCAGCTGTAAATCCACACCATTTGCTTTCGTGTATTTTTCTTCACTGTTCATCATCGTTATGTTCTTTTCCTTCTTCTTGGCTCCTTGCATCCTCCATTAATGAAGGTCGGGCATGGAGCTCACTTCTGGGTTACACGACCTCCGATTTGAGTCGTGCGACCTTAGATCTAAGTTCGCATGACCTCGAATGTGAGGTCGTACGCATCAATCGCGGGTGTCAACCTCCATTAATGGAGTTCGACCATAGGGCACATAGTGGGGGAAACTATTTGTGCCTTCGCAGCGACGGTGGCTGTAGGGAAAGCTTGGGGTTGTTTTGCTGTTGTCTGGGCACGGAATGGGTCTACAAAGCTTCGGGGATGGCTGAGCGAGGTGGTGGCCTATAAAAATGGCTTCTTGAAGCTTAAATAGAAGGAATCGAAAACAGGGTCTTAGTCGAAATGGCCGAAGATGATTCCGACGACTGCCAGCCGTCACGGAGGGGTTGTCAAAGGTCGTGGCAAGGCGTCGGAGTTCTGGGTGACGATGGATGAGCGCCGGGAAGCTGTGGCCGAGTGCATCCGTGCGAAGAGGACGATGAACAGTGACGAGGCTTTAATCTCAACTAACTTTGGACATTCCAATTCCCACAATTCATTAAGCTTCTTTGAGCTTCCTGGGATGATTAACCTCTCAAGGAGTTCTCTTTTAGTCAGTATCAGTGCTCTCAGTTTCAGTTGTTCGAGTCCACTGTATTCAAGTTCTTGAAGCTGAGATTGAGAAATTCGTAGCTTTAACAGGTTTTAAGTTGGAAATGATTGACCAAGAAACTGCTGAGTTGAAACTAACAAGTTTCAGCTCCGGTAAGGCAGGAGGAAGCTGCGTGGTAGATTGCGAGGAAGCTTCGATAAAATCGCCGACCCGCATTTGGCCTCCGTGCTTGAGCACCTCCGTTAATGGAGGTAATAAAGAAGAAGAAGAAGTAAATGAGGATGATGAACAGTGAAGAAAACCCACGTAAGCAAATGGTGCGGATTTACAGCTGACGTGGAAATGCCACGTTGGACGAGTCACGGAGATTTTGGATGGAAGATTAACGAGAGTAGATTTGAAACTAAAGTGAGAGTTTGGGGTTTTTTTTAGACGAAAAAAAGTTTAGGGTAAAATTGAGACTAAACCTAAAGTTTAGGGTTTTTTAAGGAATTAGGCCCACATTTATAAAACCAAACCTTAACTAATTTAGCCCGAATCCAAAATACAACAAACTTCAATATCAAAATTAGATATATATATATATATATATGTATGTATGTATGTATGTATGTATGTATGTATGTATTACTTCAACATAACATATTCATAGTAGAATTGCTCATTTAAATCAATAATATCGAAACAAATATCAATGGTCCAATCCACTAATCAATCTCAAAACATATGTAATGATCTATTCTAATGACCAATCTCGAGCTCAGATATCAACCATGATCATGCATAATGCACCGACACAAGGTGACCAAGCTCTCTATCGGCAAGGTTTCCACTTATATTGTCGGTGGCTGGCTCATAAGGATATCCAAAACTAGTATGCATACTCACAAACCCCTTTTTGGGCTTGCGGTGATATTGAGCACCAACATAAACTCACAACAGCATTATCCACAATTCACAAAGCCAAACCAAAAATGTATATTATAAATCGGTTTCGCAAACCAAAACACATAATCCTTCCACAACCCATCTCAACTCATCCATCAAAATTCTTTTTGCAACTCATTTAATAAACACTTCTTAAACCATTTCAGATAACAATTAGAGTAGTAAATGCTCGATTCGAAGTTTTGCAACATTAATGCTTTAAACATCACTTTCCCTTTTCAAAATAATATCAAACGTGTAACGCCTCTTTAACTCATTATATGTATATTTCTATCATTTCAAGATATGAGTTTTATAAAACCAAAGAAAATAAGTACTACTCACTCGGGAATGCCCAAAGACCAAACAGCGCGCAGTTGTATGAGCTGACGATCTTGTAATCCTAATAATTAAACGAGAATCAACGTTAAAACCAAGTAAAACACTACGACAACTATGAAACGGCTAAATTACGCTTAAACACTAACAAAACGACTTCTACGCGACAACTAATCGCTCACTCAAAACGATTATTCAAACCTAAATGCAACGCGAAACTCACATGCGAAACCCAAAAATTTCGCTCCGACGAATCCATTGCTCCAAATTGACTCCCGTTAAAACCCACAGCTCTATAATGCCATATTCCACCATTTCCATGAAATCTCATAACTCAATAACTCAAAAATTAAATTTCACGGCTCGAGTTTGAGTCCTAATTTCGAAAACTTCATCCATTGGATGAATAGAAGACGCAAAGACTTACTGGTCTTTGCGGTACGTAATAATCTAGCTAGGCGATGTGTCCGTGCCATGTACACATAAAACCCCTTTCCTTTCTTTCCGTTCCTCTCTTTCCCTTTCTTTTTTCTTCTTTTCTCTTTCTTTTCCCCTTTCTCGCGTGCGTCTCGGCCTTATATTGTGCCTTCTTTCCTCTTTTTGTTGACTGTTCAACGTTAATTTTTTTTTTCTTTCACCCTTTTTTGACTTTTCAAACCCATATTTTACGAAATTTAAATATACCTCAATCACCAAACATTATTTGGTAAACAAGTGAGGGAATTTGCGTCTTACCTCCTTGTCCCGCATTATCGCAAAAACTTTTCCGGTGGCCCTTGAAAATTTTCTTGAGGCCTACCAACTGCAAGAGCATTATTCCACATGGAGCAATTGCGTGTTAAGTGTCCCGGTTGTCCACACACAAAACATACTCTACTATCCATAGGCACATCCCTCTGCATAGGACAATCAGGTGCAATATGTCCCATTTTGCCACAAAGGAAGCATGCTCGTCTTGCGGTAACAAGGGCTGCCAAGATGTCTCCTACAAGTAGTACAAGATCCCAAAGTAATTTGATTTATAAACTTTCCTAACAGGTCACTGCTTCTTCGTTCATTACAGTTGCTTGCATCGCTTTCTTGGTAACCATTTCCAGCTCGGTGATGTGTTCTTGGCGTGTATGTGCAAAAATCCATTTCCTTTTTTTCCCTTTCCTCCTCCTTCTTCTTTTCTCTTTTTTTCCCCCTTTCTCGCGTGCGTCTAAGCCTTATATTGCCGAATGTGCCTTTTTTTCTCTTTTTATTGACTTTTCAACGGTTTTTTTTTTCTTTCCCTCATTTTGAGTTTTCAAACTCCTATTTTACACTTTTAGCATAAGCAAATAAGCCATTGGTAACCGCTTAACCATGCCTTAAATTTGGTCGAATGAATCAATTTGATGAAACTTTGAACAAAGTTAGACCAAGTATAGATTACTCGAGAGTGAAAACCTTAAAATGGCGCTAAATCGTGGGATTTCTAATTCCATATAGATTAGATTTGAACATCGAAAGCAGTGAATCAGATACCTACTGTAGGCCAAACAACTAGGAAGAAGTGCAAGTCCCATACATGTGACTTGAGAGGCTTCTCTTGCACTATACTATACAGTGGTTGAGCAAATATAGCACGGTATACTTGTTGATGTGAGAAATCGAACCTACACCGTGCATTTAATCTCAACACACGTGTTTATTTGAGACTCGACAAGGAGTTTCTTTTTCCTTTTTTTTTTCAAGTCTTGTGTTAATAGCCCGATCACATCACTAATCACTGAATTCTACATCGCACCATGCCCGACCCTTGGTGATTTAGAATTCTCATTCGAACACGGTTTGTCTAATCGACGAAACCATTTTTTTCCCTGCGAAGGGTCAACTGAGGAAAAGGGGGGGAACTTGCTTCGTGAGTTCCATGCAACTCCCTTCACCAATACTAGTTCCGCAGAGGCGACTGACAACAGAGTAAGACCCTTAAAAGTCCAAGTCAAAGTCATCTCTTGATCTGGACGAGCCGAGGAAGGAGATCCATGCCTTCACATCGCTTGTCGATGAACATTTGCCGTTCTGGTTCCGTCTCTCGGACAATCCTAATGAGCATAAATTAGAGAAAGAGAGTGTGAGGAAGCAGTTGATCCATCATCATCCCATAAACCGCAAAACGTCACGCATATCCCCTCGTATTCATCAACACCAAGACATCCGCCATGCTCTCTTCTATTCCCTCTCTCTTCTTCTTCTTCTTCCTCTGCTTCGCGGATGGCACCGCCCACCATGCCGCCCCGACCCAGGACCCTTGCGACCCCACAAGCTGCCCCGGCCGGGGGCCGCAGGTTCAGTTCCCGTTCAGGCTCGCACCCTTCCAACCTGCCAACTGCAGCTTTCATCCGGGGTTCGACCTTTCCTGTGACGAGCATGGAAACACTCAGCTCTGGCTCCCAAACACCCCAGAGCCGCTCTTCGTCCAGTCCATCGACTACGCCAACCGGTCCGTCCTCGTGCAGGACCCCAAGGGGTGCCTCCCCTTGCTGCTCGCGAACCTCAACCTCTCTCGCTTCTCCTACCAAAGGCTTTACAACAACGACCCATATGGATACCAATACGGGTACAATAACTATACCCTGTTCAAGTGCCCGCCTCCCGAGAGGACCAGCATGACCCGGGTGGTTTGCCTGAGCATTCCCGGGTCGTACGAAGTCTACGCCGTCAGGTCCAGCTCCTACGTCGGAGACTCGCCGCTGGTGTCTTGCGAGAGGAGCGGGAGCATTGACGCACTTCCGACAGCGATCGCGATCATGATGGTCGAGGTTCGTTTGGCCTGGGACAAGCCCGACTGCCAGAAGTGCACGGAGGTAAATTGGTGGTGTCGACCGAACGGGAGCGACATCAGATGCACTGAGCCTCCTAGAAAACACTACGGTATTGCTTTAATCCTAGTCGAAGGCGCGTGCTTTTGTCGGTTCCAAACTTTTTGTGTTTCGTGAGACTTTGCTCGACTCTTGCCTTATTTCACTTTCTTAGTATAAGTGATTATTGATGCTTGGGCTTCTGCGAATATAAGAATACTTTTATATGTGCAATTCCGTTGGATGGATGCATTTCCACAAGTTTATTTTATTTCACACGATACGTTTGTACTTTAATTTGGAGGAGTTCCTCAATCCTGATTGCCTCTTACTCTCTATAAATGATCTGATGTCCTGTAATGAAGGTCGCTCATGGTGTTAAGTGAAGCTGACATGACTAGCTCTGAGGGTTTTTCTTCTAGTAATTTTATCATTCGCGTGAACTTAGGCAGAAGCTCAAGTACTGACTTCTCTGATTCTGCAGAAAAATTAAGGGCAGAGATCACCGGAGGAGTCGTGGGCTCGTTTTTCCTTCTTGCTGTTGTGATTGGAGTCGGCTATGTCCTCAACGAAAGAAGAAGAGATAAAGCATTCCAACTCAAGATCGAGAGCTTCTTGCATGACTATGAGGCCCTCAAGCCGACCCGTTACTCCTACAACGACATCAAGAGGATAACCAATGACTTCGAGGAGAAACTTGGCCAGGGGGCTTACGGAACTGTCTACAAAGGAAAGCTTTCCAACGAGATTTTCGTCGCCGTGAAGATGCTGGACAATTCGTTCGGAAAAGGTGAGGAGTTCATCAACGAAGTAGGCACGATGGGAAGGATTCACCACGTCAACGTGGTTCGGATGGTCGGTTTCTGTGCTGACGGTTTCCGAAGAGCCTTGGTGTACGAGTTCCTGCCGAACGAGTCTCTGGAGAAGTTCATATTTCCAGGCGAAGACGCTCTCGACGCTTCCCTTAGTTGGGAGAGGCTCCATGACATCGCTCTCGGAGTGGCCAAAGGCATAGAGTATCTTCACCAGGGGTGCGATCATAGGATCCTCCATTTCGACATCAAGCCGCACAACATCTTGTTGGATGACAACTTCAATCCTAAGATTGCGGATTTCGGTCTGGCAAAGTTATGTTCCAAGGAAAAAAGCGCGGTGTCCATGACTGCGGCCAGAGGTACCATGGGCTACATCGCCCCGGAAGTCTTCTCCAGGAACTTTGGAAGCGTGTCTTCTAAGTCGGACGTGTACAGCTTCGGAATGCTGCTACTCGAAATGGTTGGGGGGAGGAAAAACGTCGATGTGAACGCGAAGAACATGAGCCAGATGTACTTCCCGCAGTGGGTCTATAACCATCTGAATAAGGGTGAAGAGCTTGAAATACGAATCCGAGAGGACGGTGACCATAAGATTGCCAGGAAACTGGCAATCGTAGGGCTCTGGTGCATTCACTGGTACCCGGCCGATCGGCCTCCCATGAAAGTGGTGGTTCAGATGCTGGAGGGAGAAGAGTGCCCCGTCATGCCGAAAAATCCTTTCGTTTCCTCCGGTTCAGGGGATGCTGCGACCATGCAGGGAAGACTATGGAACACGGATCTAGAAGTTATCGCAGAATAAGTTTGAGTGCTCTTTCGCAGTATGTCATCTCCCTTTGACTGAAATGGATGTCAAAAAGTGAGAAAAGTAAGTAGATCTGTGATCGAGAAGCCATCAGCTAAATTTAGGAACTCTCTCTACCGCGAAATAGTCTGTCAGCATTTGATGCGCACCTACTACTTACCTTTCGTATCAGATGCAATATGTATAGAGGAATTCCTTTCCTCTTATATTTCGAACTAGGTTAGTTATTATGTAATACTAGAATCTATCTACTTATTGGAAGTTTGTAATATATTAAGTATTCTGGATTTAATCACCCATCGCAAATGCAGCTCATCCTGTGTGCTCCGGGGTATACAGCAGCAGTTGGTTTTTGGGACAAGAATTGTGCCTTTGGTCTGCTTGAGGAGTTGAAAATATCTAGCTTCAGCAAATTTAAGAAGGAACGAAAGTACTACTGCAAGAAAAATTGACCCTTCTCATGAGGATGACAAATTTTAAAATATGACAAGTCGCAGACGACGAATTTGCAGAAGCACTAAAAGAAATATGTTTTCGAGGTCGATTCAATCAAGATTTGAAATGACATCGGTTTGAAGCTGCTTGAAAGAGATTGCGTCAGTGAATAAGGCTAGCATGAGGGCTTCATTGACAGAGGGAGTTCTTACCAATGAATGGCGACTCGGCTGACGAATTTGGTTACTGATATGCGCCGTAACTGGACAACGTTATCGTTTCAATCCTTTCGAATATCTAGTTGCGTGTCCTTTTGAGTGAACACAATAAGACGTTCATCTCATCCATGTACATTTGATTGAACTCTCCATCATTGCCTTCCAATTCAAGCCAAGCAAAACTAATCGTCTGGTTTTTCTACAACTCTTGAGCTCTTTCAGCTAAAAAATACAACAAAAGGAGACTTTTTGACTGTCAAGTCGCTATGCACAAAAGTTCAAGCACCACAGAAACAGGAAAAGCACCACCCAAAAAATGGCTTCAAAGCCAACTCACATAGATGGAAAATGCACCTTTTGACGCTTCTGAGCATTTTATTCTAAAGTAATTCTTGAGAAGACTTCTTCAACCTGTTTGACCAATTTCAGTTGGTGGCTGTCTGATTTGGACGTATACACTGCATAATTGGCCACTTGGCAGACTGTTGAACAATCTTTTGCACTAGTATACAAGATCATTTACTCTCCTCCGACCTGGACAAAGAGCTTAAAGTCTCGAGTTTATCCATCACGAGTCTTATACTGCGGCGATCAATTCGAGTCCTCGAAATGTAAAATTGCAGGATTATCAAGTAAATGACAAGATGTACCCGTCATCTGCTTCGACGTTTCATAACTCCCAAAACGTCACGCTTTGCGTATACTTCAAATGTACACTGTCCCACAACCCTCTCCAATGAGTCGGACCTCTGTTTTTTTCTCCAAGACCTGAAACAATCTACTGTTAATAGTGTAAAAGAACGAGATTTAACCTAATATAGGAGTACTTTATCCACTGCTGACAGAGATGTTTAGGAACTGAGCAATCCCTTGAGCCCGCACCGCAGCAACCCCCGCCAGCACCGGAGATCGTCACTGAGGTCCGACAAGATGACCTGCTCGTAGAACGGCCATTCGACCGTGACGGGGACGGTCTTCGTGAGCGCGCAAGAGGAGGAGAGGCTGCTCAGGACACCAGGTTGAGGAGGTTGCGAAGACCGTGGAGTTGGAGCCGCTGAGACAGGCAATTGGGTTCAGGCCGTACTCTGACGTTGCACTTTGGAGAAACGATGCTAGAAACAAAGTGTCCGTTTGTTTCGCGGAAAGCATTTTCCGAGAAAACACTTTCCTCATTTTCCAGCGTTTGGTTTTGTTAAAAAATTGAGTCAATGAAAAATGTTTTCCTACTAAGGCACCGTTCGTTTCACGGAAAACAACTTTCAATAAATCGTTTTCCGGATTTTCCGACGTTCGTTTCACGGAAAATAAATTAGTCATTGAAAACATTTTCCCTCAAGAGAGAAAGCACCTTCCATAGTGAGGAAAATGTTTTTGGCTTTGTTTCCATATCTTATTTCACCTCACTTCCTTTCACAAAACACATTTATTTTTATTTTTATTTTTATTTTTTCTTTTCTTTTCTTTTTTTTTTAAAAAATCTAATTTTTAATTATTTTTAATATTTTTCTATTTCTTTTCTTCTTTTCTTCTTCTTTCTCTTCTTCTTTTTTTTTTTTTCCTCTTCTTCCTTCCTCTAGTGGTTGTGGCTGGCGACCAGTCGCAAGCGAGGCTCAACCTCACTCGCTGACTTTAGGTGAGGCCGACGAGCTCGAGCCTCAACTCGCCGGCCTTGGGCGAGGCCAAGAGTAGCCTCGCCTAGCCAGATTTGGCGAGGCGAGGCGAGGTCGAGCTCGAGCCTCGCCTCGCCGGCCTCAGGCAAGGTCCAAAGTAGCCTCGCCTCGCCGGATCTGGCTCGACCTGGCTCAAGGCCGGTAAGGCTGGCCTGTGGTCGGTCGCCGTGGTCAGCAAAGGAAGGAAGAAGAGAAAAAAAATAAAGAGAAAAAGAATAGAAAAGAAAAGAAATATGAAAAATTATTTAAAAAATTAAAAATTCGAATTTTTTAAAAATTTTATTAAAAGGAGTGCAAGGAAGAAAATATTTTGTCCATACCAAACGATTGAAAATATTTTCCAGTTCATTTTCAAGTTTCAACCGAATAGCGGAAATTATTGTCATTTTCTTGGAAAATGGCTTCTTTGGAAATATTTTCCAGAATCGTCACATTTTCCGCGAAACGAATAGAGCCTAAAGCTTAAATTCAGAAAAATGATTTCCCTTTTTTTTTTGGATCATAATTTCCCCTTTGAAAGAACCGGAAAACCTTTTCAGAAGTATGACTTCTATCTACGTTTGAACACAAAAACTCCAACGTTAGTTCTCAGGTGCCGACATTCTGGACCAGGTCTCAGCGGCCGAGCTCAAGACCTCAGTGTCCAGGGCCTACACCCCCAGCGCTCATGCCAGGCTAAGCCCGAACCCCTGGTGCCCGTACCCGATGCTCCGGCACCCAAACTCGAGTCCATAAAGGCAGTGCTTAGGTCCTCGATGCTCGAGCTTTAGTCCCGACCCACCCTTTGACCCCAATCCCACAAAGGTCGTGCGCATGTCCTTGGTGTTCCGGCTCGGTCCATAAATAATGAAACGTTTGTTCTTATAAAAATATTTAATTAAAAAATTGATTTTTTATTTTTTTCACATTTTTTTTAAAAAACATTTTTTTATTATTTAAAAAAAATCGAATTATTTTTTTTTTTTTTCTTTCCTTTTCTTTTCATCCTTTTTCTTCTACCTCAAGCCGGTTGCCGGCCACAGCAATGGCCGGCGAGCCCGCGGCGGCCTCTAGCGGCAAGCTCGAGGCTCGGCCGATCCAAGCGAGCCCAAGCTTCGCCGAGGTTGGTGAGCTCACGGCTCGACGAATCCTGGCGAGCCCAAGCTCCGCCGATTGATTTCAGCCGAGGCTGGCGAGCTCGTGACATGCCAAATCCAGGCGAGCCTGGGCTTGGCCGAGGCCGGAGAGCTTGCGGCTCGCCAGATCCAGGCAAGGCCGGCAAGCTCAAGCTCGCTTGTGGCCATCGCCGGGCAAGCCTCGAGCTCGTCGGTGGCCATCGCCGGCCGGTCCTGGCAGAGGAAAAAGAAAAGGAAAGAAAAGAAAAAAGAAAATTTAAAAATAATAAAAAATTTCAATATTTTGAAAAAAGAAAAGAAAAAATAAAAATGAGAAATAAAAATAAAAATATCAATTTTTTTAAAAATAAAAGAAATATTAAAAAGTTCGATTTTTTTTTGCCTGAAATAAAGTCATGAGATTAAAATCATTTTCCAATGATATCCAAACATTAGAAAACGATTTCCATCTTGTATCACCAAACAAAGGAAAACGAAGCGTTTTCCTGGAAAATGATTTTTCGAAAAATATTTTCCTTTATCATTAAGTTTTCTGGGAAACAAACACACCCTAAGTTTCTATAATCCACCAAAAAGATTATGTACAACTTAGAACCCAGCGCGCCCAACAAATTATCAACAACCATTTCTACGACTCCCTTAAGCCATCCCGAAATCCAACTTCCAAAAGTCCTCGTGATAGTGCTGTTGTATTATCGGCTGCTAGCTAAGGAACCTGAAAAACATGAAAGATGAATGGAGCAACAACCACAGCTCAGCGAATAATACATTTATTATAAATAGATCGAGCAACCACTATACACATTTATAGGCCTAATTCCCTAAAAAACTCTAAACTTTATATTTAGTCCCAATTTTAACCTGAACTTTTTTTATCTAAAAAATGACGCCAAACTTTCACTTTAGTCCCAAATCTACCCCCCTTAATTTTCCGTCCAAGATCTCCGCTACTCATCCAATGTGGTATTTCCACGTCAGCTGTAAATCCACACCATTTGCTTTCGTGTATTTTTCTTCACTGTTCATCATCGTTATGTTCTTTTCCTTCTTCTTGGCTCCTTGCATCCTCCATTAATGGAGGTCGGGCATGGAGCTCACTTCTGGGTTACACGACCTCCGATTTGAGTCGTGCGACCTTAGATCTAAGTTCGCATGACCTCGAATGTGAGGTCGTACGCATCAATCGCGGGTGTCAACCTCCATTAATGGAGTTCGACCAAAGGGCACATAGTGGGGGAAACTATTTGTGCCTTCGCAGCGACGGTGGCTGTAGGGAAAGCTTGGGGTTGTTTTGCTGTTGTCTGGGCACGGAATGGGTCTACAAAGCTTCGGGGATGGCTGAGCGAGGTGGTGGCCTATAAAAATGGCTTCTTGAAGCTTAAATAGAAGGAATCGAAAACAGGGTCTTAGTCGAAATGGCCGAAGATGATTCCGACGACTGCCAGCCGTCACGGAGGGGTTGTCAAAGGTCGTGGCAAGGCGTCGGAGGTCTGGGTGACGATGGATGAGCGCCGGGAAGCTGTGGCCGAGTGCATCCGTGCGAAGAGGACGATGAACAGTGACGAGGCTTTAATCTCAACTAACTTTGGACATTCCAATTCCCACAATTCATTAAGCTTTTTTGAGCTTCCTGGGATGATTAACCTCTCAAGGAGTTCTCTTTTAGTCAGTATCAATGCTCTCAGTTTCAGTTGTTCGAGTCCACTGTATTCAAGTTCTTGAAGCTGAGATTGAGAAATTCGTAGCTTTAACAGGTTTTAAGTTGGAAATGATTGACCAAGAAACTGCTGAGTTGAAACTAACAAGTTTCAGCTCCGGTAAGGCAGGAGGAAGCTGCGTGGTAGATTGCGAGGAAGCTTCGATAAAATCGCCG